CTTTAAAACCCTTGGGGAAATATTATCTGGCCCAGGAGCCTTATCATTTTTGGAACTTCCCAATTTTTTCTTAACCAGCTCAGAATTAATGCAGTCATCTAATTCAATCTTGTTTCCATTTATCAACTGTTCAAGATGGGGAATACTGCTTAAATCTTCGTTAGTAAAAACAGAAGAAAAAGCAAAATTTAATAACCTAACCATCTTATAATCACCAGATAATAGCCTTCCTTTATTATACCTCAAGGGCACTAACCTCATCCTAACATTTTGTTTACCTATAATGTATTTAAAGAAATCCTTACTGTTAATTTTTACATTTTAGGCCAACATTTTCTCATACATCCTTTTTGATTTCTTTGTTTCACCAACTTTCTTGATTTTCCAAATCTCCTGTCACACCAGTCAAGTTAAATTTCTTAAATTTTTTATGCTTTTCTTTAACTTTATCTCATACCCATTGTGAGCCAATCTAGATATTTACTTGCAGCTACCCTATTGTTTCTATAAGGAATATGTTTATGTTGAATATTTAAAAAATTTCCACATTTGACCAGTGTCTCCAAATAACTCAGCTGCCCAGTTCACAACATATAATTTTTGTCTCATCTCTTTAAATTTTGCTTTTTGAAAATATCATTATTTCTGATCTCCATATGCAGCAAACATTGAACCTAATAGAGCAATGATCACCTGCACCCAGATGTTCCCCAATTTCCACCCTCTCAATCATTTCTATATTTGAAGTTAACAATAAATCTAAAATAGTATCGTTTCTAGTAGGTTCCTTGTAGGTGAAGAAAACCATCTTGTTTAGTTTCCAAAAACCTTTCTTGGCTCTAGCATTTCCTGATCTATATGCCTGAAATTAAAATCATCCATAATTATGACCTCATTAACAGCTGAAATCTTAATCTCTCTGTGAAGTTTCTCATTGATTTCATTAGTATCATTTGGTGGTCTGTAACAAATTCCCACTAAAAGCCTTTTCCTTTTATATCCACTAATAGAAACCCAAATGGATTCAATCTCCTTGCAGTTATCTTTGGTATTTTCAACATCAACAGGATGTAACTCACATTTTACATATAATTCCACTCCTTCCCGCTCTTTAGTACTTTATCCCTATTAAATAACCTGTAACCCTGTATTTCAAAGACATTTCTGTCATCAAAATCATCTATGTTTAACCATGTTTCAGTTATTCCCATTATATAAAAATCTTCCTTTCCTACCAATGCTCTAAGGTCATCTGTTTTATTTCTTATATTTCTAGCATCACAAGAGTAACAATTAAGCCTACCCTTATACCTAATTCTATACTCATTTCCTGTGCTAAGCTATTCTCTGCCTCTTATTCTTTTTGCATTTAGTTTATTCTGGCCCTTACCACTGTCTAGTTCTAGTTTAAAACTTCCCTTACAGCTGAGTTAATAGCCTTAGCAAACAAGCAAGCCCCTACTCTATTTAAATGTAAACCATCCATTCCAAAAAGCTCCCTTCTTCCACTGAACTGATCCCACAAGTTTAAACAGCCAATTTGCTCATCCTTACATACTAACCCAAGCCTAGCATTTAGCTCTACTGACCTACTTATAACTTCATCCACACAATTAATTCTGGGCAGTATCCCTGACAAAATTAAGTTATGGCCTTTCTCTTTAAATGCCTTTATCAACCCCTTGAATTTATTAATTAGCTCCTCTGACCTACCTTTCCCTACATCATTAGCCTCTATATGCCCCACAGTTAACACTGGGTTAAGAGGTCGTGCTGCATTGTATTTTCAATCTCTAGTTATCTCTTGATATTTAAAAATAACAACAACCTAAGTTTTCATGTATGTACAGCTTATAAAATTAGTAGTCAATTCTGAGTGCAGTAAGTCATAGTTGCATTTGAATTTTTCTCAGTCAGCTGTGCAGAATATCAAAACGTTCTGTAGATTAATCCATTATTATTATCAGCTATGAAAAACTGTAATCATATTGTTGCAATGTATGTTGTTAATGCCAGTAGTTTATTATTGTCTTACATACTGTACATTTACTTTGACATGCTTTTAGCAATGATTTTTAAGTGAAGAGCTAGTTGCCAGAAATTTCTATTGGTATTTATTATTATTAACTAATATCAACTAGTTTTAGCAATAACATTGAGGAAAATATTACATTGTGTATGGTTATGTGAGAGTTTTGTAAAATGACATTTATTTGTACATGTATTAAAGTGTTCATATATTTTTTTATCTTTCAATTTTAGCTACTTGCACGAAAAAGATCGACTAAATGCTGAAATAACTTTAGGTAAATAAAAGGGAATAGTTGTTGTTAGGTTTACATTTTTTAAGCTGTTTAAATGTTTGATGCCAAAGAAATTAAAATACAAGTTATCCAACAAAAATAACATATTTTGATTGCCTTAAAAATTACAATGCTATAATGTTATTTGAAGCCAATCTCTAGTCAATGTGTCTTGACTAGACATTGACTTGTGGATATATATTGACCATGTATAGGCAAATCAGATATCCTTGGTTTCATCCTTGATATAAGTGTCAATTTTTACATTCCACTAATCCAGGTGCTTGAAAGAACTGATATTTTTATGTAATATTTGCTAAGACCTGTGACTGGTTTACCAATGTTTTTGAAATTATCAAACAAGCTACATTTATTATTTAGCATTTTAACCATTTTTTTCTTTCAGGAATGTCACTATTATATTTGCTGATTCATGGTATAATGTGTAACAGTTTGCATGCAAGTTCAAATGTTGAAGAGTTACCTTTAAATATATATATCTACTAGCTGAATGGAATTAATTTGTGAATATATTCTAAAAATGCAGGCTGTACTTGATGAACAAGTATTATGCTATGTTTAAGCAATAATATTCAAAACATTTTATAATCATGTAAATTTTTTGGTAGTTTTCCACAGTTATATGTATTATTTTAAGGATTGCAGTGTACTTCTTCATTTTTGAGTGTAGTAAAAAAATTAAAATAGTTTATTAAAATGCATTTATTTTTTCATTGAAATGTATCAACAAATTAAAATTTATTTTCTTCTAAGCTGTTTGTTTGGTGGTTGAATTTTGCATAAAGGTACACAAGAACTCTATATTCAAACCAGCCTATGGATTACTCTTGTCAGACCACATAGTAGGATTTTACTATTGCACTTGTAACACCCACAGTCCCAAAGTGATTTTTGTCTTTGGCAATAACAAGATGTAATCACTGGAACCCGAGATCCACTGGGCCATGCTTCGTGTTTTGTATGCTGACATAATTTTGAATTAAGTTTTCTTTCTTTTTTTTTTTTTATATGTTCATAACTTTACAAGTACTATGGTTATGTAAAATTTAGTCTAGGAGCCAAGTATAAAAAGTTTCATTTAAAAACATTCAAATTACATTCAGTCTGGAGATGTTAGGCAGGAATTTTGTTAAAATGATTTTAAGCCAAATTACTGGATTTGTGTTTCAATACCCAAATCATATCACTTTCTTCAGTAGATTACCACATCTTATTGATAGAGATCACAATTTAGAGTTTAGAATATAAGATGCTTTTTCTTCATGAGTGTTTCATCCTTTTCGGGTAAGAGTAGAAAAACTTGGTACATAAGCTGAAGTTAAGAATACTTTTGTGAATCATTTCCCATTATTTATTTCCAGAAGAAGTATGCATGCATATTTAATATACATATTCTCTAAATGCAATTGTACTAAAAGCCCCTACATCATTCTCTTCTTGCTGACCCATATTCTGTGTTACTACCAACCACACTAACTTTCAGCTTATAAGCTGATATGGTTTTGTTTTGATGCAATTTTTTATCCACAAACTTCTTGAACTGATCAAGACAACAGCATTAAGTTATCTATATCTCTACAGTTGGACTATTTTTATTTATTACTATTAACCTTTAACTTGAAATTGTTATTTTCATAGCTACCATCACAACTTTTTGTATCTTTATTTCTAATATATATTTTCAAGCTAATGCCATAAATTTTTCAGCTACCCAAATGGAATAACAAGTGTGAAAGTCTTTCCAAAATTAACTCCTTGGAAAGTTTTAAGAATGAAGAAAGGGGGGGGGGGGTTCTGAAAACTTCACATCTGTTTTACACATACACACAATTGCAAGTGTTTGTTTTTTTCTAGTGTCCCTCTGTCACCAC